AAAACACTTCTCATGAGAACACTTCTCATGAAAACACTTCTCATGAAGCTTTTCCACCGTTCATGAACGACTGGTTTTGACCTGAGGTTATATTTTTATGTGAAATTCAACAAACTGAACCGATGACATTTAAGGACACTTAAAGACCAACACCGTTAATTAGTTTTAGATCGGTGAGCAAACATCTGAACTGCTACAGCAAATAAAACGTGAATAAACTCTCATGAAGAACTTGTCAAATATGTGTTTAAAAACTAACGTTAAAGTTTCGACAGAACATTAGTGAGTTCAAACTGAAGCAGCTTTAGGTTTTTATTTTCTCCTTCATATTTTCAGGTTCTGGTTAATCTGGGCCAGAGGTTCTTTTTACGGTGAGCTATAAAACATCCCAACTTCCACTTTGTTCCAAAGTTAGAACAAACAATAAAAACTGAAATGAGATGAAATAACACTCTGGCTTCCTCCCACACACTAACAACATGTATGTTAGTGTCTTCAGGCCCAGGCCTCCCTTGCAAGAGACCTGTGATCTCAGTGGGATTTGCTTGTAAAGGTTAATAACTAAATAACTAAATATAATTTGATATAATATGATCTTCTTTCTTCTTCTTCTTGATGATATACAATATGTGATACAATATAATTAGTTAATATGATATATATAATAGAAAATATGATATATGATATTTGATATTAAATATGGTATGATAGGATATGTAATATATGAAATATGATATGTGAAGGGCAGCACGGTGGTGCAACTGGTAGAGCTGCTGCCTCTCAGCGAGCAGGTCCCTGGTTCAAATCCCGGTCCAGGGGCCTTTCTGGGTGGAGTTTGCATGTTCTCTCCGTGCATGCGTGGGTTTTCTCCGGGTACTCCGGTTTCCTCCCACAGACCAAAAACATGCATGTTAGGCTGATTGGTAACTCTAAATTGTCCCTAGGTGAGAGAGAGAATGGTTGTTTGTCTCGTTTGTCTCTATGTGTCCCTGTGATGGACTGGAGACCCGTCCAGGGTGTCCCCCGCCCCTCGCACAGTGATTGCTGGACATGGGCACCAGCGACCCCCGTGACCCAAAATGGAAGAAGCAGGTAAAGATAATGGATGGATCATATGTAATATGATATGTGATATGATATAATATGATAAGTAATATGATATTTGATATGTTATGATATATGATATAATATGATATGTGATATATGTAATATGATATAAAATATGATATGTTATGATATGTAATGATATGTGATATGATATGTGATATGATATAATATGATATGTGATATGATATGATATAATATGATATAATATGATATAATATGATATGTG